GTTAACCCTTTCTCTTAAGTCTTTAGCTTTCACAAATATGAGGAAACAGACGAGTTCTGCACAAAACCCATATACCCTTTAACGCTTTGTGAACAGAGCATAAAAAGCAGCCTGTTTTTAGCCACTTTTTAGTTTTTGTTTTTTTTTTGCGCATACATATATCTCAGGGGTGCTGTTCGATGACGGGGCCAGTTCGGCTAGTTTTTGATAGCACGCTGCTCCGAAATGTAATTTATTGCCCCACTGCTGCTATTTGCACTTGAATCTTGGGTAAAAACTTTGCTATATCGAAAAGTTTAATGTGATTTGCACTTATCGTTGTGCAAGATCTTAACAGAAAACAACAAAGAGCGTGTGATGCATTGAGGCATAAATGAGTGCCAACATGTCAGCGTCGCTTCCTTCCACTGCGCTGAACATTCTCGCAATATCGCCGGCTTGTTTGCCAAATGAGTTTGGCATAGGTTGGGCGCTTAGGCTCGATGCCAAATACCCATTGTTATCCCAAACTAACTTAAACTTAGCACAAAACTTAAAACAATGCGCCGCAAATAAACTTGGCACTTGGCTTATTTACTTTGCCTACAGTTTATGATAGCTTTCACTTGTCGCTCTTTTGTAATGAATTTAAATTGCACTGCTCATACGTTCTTCAGTTTAAATATAAATTACATATTCTAAAAGCAACTTTTTAAAATAAATGTAAGCTTGCAAATTCTGATATTGTGATATATACCTTCCTTCAAATTTGAAATAGTTATGGCAATCCTAAGTCTAGGCAGATAAGTCCTTTGCTAAGTCAAAAAGCTTATAAGTACTTTAAAAGATTGAACACTTTAAAGCAGAAATCTGTTTGGGGCAGCCAAATAAGCAAATATTGCCTCTGACACAGACCTGTTAGCACCTTTCACAATGTGAGCTTTGGTATCGGGAATTTCGAGGCAGCAGACGGCACGTTCGATACAAATAAATCAGAGGAAAAGCTTCTAAATTGTATTCCATTGTTGCGTACTTTAGACTCACCTTATGCTATGCTAGTTACCAATACCAAGATATTTTCTACATTCGTTCTGTATCAAAATTCTGTGTGTGTGTGTGTCTGAGGAAGGGGACTTAAGGGTCGGTTCAATTGGCTGCCACGTTGATTTCGCATCGATTTTGACTTTCACTGAAGTCTCTGCGTTTCTGTGTGCTCAAATCCCCTTGTCAGTGCCCAAAAGGGTTGCGGTCTTCAGAAATGCGCTGACAGCGCATTTATTTCGTCAACATTTGGAATGAATGTGCTGTCATTGAATTGCACAATTTTCAATATGCGGCGCCTGCACCATACACACATGTTTATTTATACGAGCAAAGCCCTGGCAACCGTCATAAACTGTCAAATGTTCGAAACTTATTTTAGTTGAAACAATTTAAGCAATACACGCAGCCAGTTGCAATACATTTTCCCATTCGAGTCGTGTAAAACTCGTCTTCTAGTTATGTCACGAAAACTTCCATGTCTGGGCGAAGTTTTCCGCAAACACACGTGTGCGAATTTAAAGAACTTTTTTAAAATATAAGAGCAAGACTGCAAACCTTCTCTTTGTACAAATGATAACAAGCTTTGAGAATTATAAGCACTTCTTTGCCTTCTCCCCCACTTCTCTCTACTCTCAGTCTTTTCATCTACATATTATTCTTACTATGTCGCTGACTCGCTCTTATCTTTTTAAATATATTCTATATCGCTCTCTCTTTATTGTTGCCACTCTTTTTCCACATTTATCTATGATTCGCGGTCTTTCTCTGTCCCTCTCTCATTTTAAGCCTCTCTCTCCATATCTATGAGTTCCTTCATGTCTCTGTCTCGATCAGTCCTCGTTCTCTCACAGACATTAACTTCGATCTTTCCATTTCGGGATTATTTTATTTCTTTCTCTTTACTCTCCCTCTCCCTCTCCTTTCTCTCTCTCTCTCTCTCTGTCCATCTCTTTCTCCCACAGACTTTTACCTTTATCTTTTCACTTCGGTTTTCGTTTCTTACTAATCAGTTTACTCTTCTTGTCTCTCAGTCCATTTCTCTCTGTCTCTCTCTCTTTCTTTCTCTCGTTCTCTCTCTCTCTCTCTTTCTCTCTCTCTCTCTCTCGCTCTCTCTCTGTCTGTCATCTCTGTCACTTTAATTTTCACCTATCCAAGTCTAAAGCTCTCAATTAATATTTTTTTTCTTATATGAATGGATATATTTATTTCTTTTCGAAATATCTCGATAGTGTACAAGGAAAGCTAAAACGATATAAATCGATAAATTGTTATCGAGACCGATAGAAATACGATAACGTTCCGCTTTTCCAGTTTCTATCCTAGGGGGATTATTATACTATGTGCAATTTCTTGTATTCACTTTTGTTTAGTTTTCTTTGAGGATAACCAATTGGACGTCTGTTACTTTCATGGCTTACAGGGGACAGGCTGTGCAGGCTTTGGTAAAGTCGACAATCAGCTTAACAAACTTCGCGGGCTGATCCATATGCACTTTATGTTCGGCATCCAAATACTCGACATGCAGTTTGGGAAAGAATTTTCTCATTGTCTCAACATTTGCTGGCGTTACAAACGATTCCCTATTCGCAGCAATTAGCAGGGTCTCACCCTGATAGGGCTGCAGACCCTGCAGCGTCTGCTCATAGTTGACAATTGTTGCATCCCAGCCGTCTATGATCGCCTGGGCATTCACGCTCCAGCCAAAGCTGCCATCCTTGAGCTTTCGCAGATTCTGTATGATCAGCATCAGATCGTGATCGCTTTTGACCAGTTGACTGAACTCGGGTATTACGTGCTTGCGACCCTCGGAGAGGGTAAGATCTTTGGGTATAGTCGACACCACGCTCACCATAACCTTAAACAACTCCAACGCGTTGACCACATCGCCAGGCACCGGTCCCGGCGTTATGTCCACAATGATGGCACGCTCCACCAGCTCGGGCCTGGTCAGCGCCAGCGTCATCAATGCCCGTCCGCCCATGCTGTGGCCCAAGGCAACAATCCGATTCAGCCTATGCTGCGCGATAAAGGCCTCCACATCGGCAGCCATGTGGGCGGGCGTATGCCCCGCACAATGCGGACTCCGGCCGTGATTCCGGGCATCCACGGTGATCATCGAGCGTGAGCCCTGCTTCACCAAATGTCGCGCTGTGCGTCGCCAACTGGACCGGGAGAGATTCAATCCATGCATAAGCAATATGGGCGGCGAATTCAGTTGACTGTGCGGCATCTCGTACATCGTATAATCCATCTTTATGCTGCCATAGCTGCGCATCGAGTGTATCCTTGTGGATACTATACAGCGTCTCATGTGTATCATAGAAACGGAAAATTTTGAATTAGACCAAACTGATGGATTAGAAAATGAGGATGCAACTGAACTGATCACTGATTCACTGAGTTTTCTCGTCAATAGGCATATTTCACAAAACATGACCCAGAAACTCTGGCTCAGTGCCACAAAACCATGAAAGATAACTTCTGATGCGCTAACTAGAAATTTACATATTTAATATTTAAAATGTCTTGGGAGAGTGACGACTTCTAATAGTCAGCTGACTTTCTATCGTGAATCTATCTGTCAGTTTTGACATAAAAGACACAAAATGCTGCTAGAAATTGGAAACAATTCCAATTACAATATATACAATTTCATATGACATGATATCGCATTATAACATATTTTACCAAATATTATCGCAAAATATGAATTTCTTTTCTCTTTTTCACAAAATATGAATAAGTTATCCGATAATCCTCTAAAGTAAACACAAAGCTTTGCGTCGGCAAACTCTAGCATAAGGCAGACATAGTTCGTTTACTGCGGCTTTTACGCAAGCAAATCCCCAAATGACGTCATAAATAAAATGCATTTGTGTGGAAAATTAGGCAGCAGCAAATGACGCTGCAACAAGCCGCACACAAATACAGAAACTCTAGAGTATCGGAGTACACACATATATACACACACACATAGACAGAAGTATGAATGTACACATATGTATATTCCTTATAAAGGGCATAAATCTTGCACAGTTCTCTGCCGCAGACGCAAACAAATCGTCTTTGGAATTTCTTTTCTCTTTTTTTTTCACTTTAAATTTCTTGGAAATATCTGAGGATTATTGAGAACTTTGCGTGCGTATCTTTAGAAAGGTGTCAAGTGCGTTTGAGACATAAAATATATACACAGATATATTTATAAACCTATTCACAACAAGCTCTATGTGCTTTTAATAGAGCAACTGTAAGGAAAAGTTTGAAGTTGAGTTGTTTTAATACAAAAGGGTATCTCAATGGTGTTAGGTGTCAAAGAAAACTCGTGCCAGACAAGGGGAGGAGACAGGTGGTTGTGATTTTAATAGTACGTACCTAAAGCACATCCTATCTCGCTTTCTGTTTATTGACACAATTAAATGCCTTTGAGTTTGGCCCCCTGTGGCGCAAAAAAAAATTAAGAGTTAATCAGCAACTGGAATTGACTACAAAGGAAAGCCAATAAATAAATTTAGGTAACCTCAAAACAAAATTTAAAACTTTACATATGCTGTATTCTAACTAGTCTCCTAAACAGTCACACTTATACTGTTATTCTATCTCTTATATTTATAAGAGCGTAAATACCGGTGAATTTATCCGCACTGGCGCATTAGCTTAAACTTTCTGAGAGAGAGAGAGAGAGAGAGAGAGAGAGAGGGAGAGATCAAAGCATAATTTGAAAAGCTGCTGAGCGTGATTCATGGCAGATATTTATAAACAAAAACAAGGCAAGCAACAGTTAGATGACCAAAACATTAGGGGTATTCGTTTTGCTGCATTTATATATATTTTTAATTAGTTTAAATACAGGTGCAAAAGTTTGACAGAACTTCAACTTGTTAATTTTTCTTTGCAACATTTTTTAATATTTCATATTACTCTATATATTATTTTTTTTCATTTCGTTCTCCTTTGGTTTTTCAGTCTCTAATATAATGAAAAATATTTATCTATCTATATATTTATAATAAATGACAGCTTATTTTAGAGAAATTCTTTCAATAGCTTTATCTCACATCATAATTAAGTTTTCCATTGCATTTAACTGATTGATTCTAAAGCTTTAGAAAAGCCATCGAGTAACAAGACAAGGAGACGAAAAGTCATTTTCAGCTATTATTACCGTTTTAACTTATAACAAGTTATTTCTTTATTAAAAAAGCAAAGGATAAAAGCTTTTAAAGTCCGATAAGGCGCTTAAAACTTGATAGTCGACTTTTAATAAAAAGCATGGCGCCACCTATGTTTCATTTATGATTAAAGCGAATACACAAACCAATAAAGATTGACCAATAGGCGATGAACACAGAGGCAAAGGGATGAAAATCCTAATCTTAAATGAGCTAGGATATGTTTTCTTACTTGCCAAATATTTGCCATAAATATTTGGTTAGATTTAAAAACGCAAATCTCTAAATTCTACTTTAATATATGACAAATAGCTGTTTAAAAATTCAAAATTTGATTTAAGAAACTCTCACATTCCTCAATACTTAAGGTGTACATACTGATAGGGAAAAAGTGTTTTCTTATCAAAATAACAAAAAAAACCTTGATTATATTTGTGGAGTAAGTCTCCAATAAGAGGCCTTAACTTTTCCATACGCTATAACCAAATGCATGTAACAACAGATTTCGCATGACTCCCAACCCCCGTTGAGCGGCAGCCAATCAAAATGCCGCAAACTGTTGCCAATCCAAAATGGCCGCCTTGACTGCCGTTCGCAGATGCTGCCCACCATAAGGGTGGGCAGAAATCCAATAAGCCAAACCGAGGAGAGCTCATTTCAAAGCAGTCAGCACAATCAGAATTTATTCCAATTCGGGCTTCCAAGCAGAACAGTAGAACAGACCCAAGGTCGTGAGTCGTATCAGAATAGGACAATATACACATACTATATACCAGCAGCAGCAGCAGCAGCAGCCATGCAGCATCCGAGCGAGCAGCCCACCTACATGCCCGAGGTGCCCTTTCAGCCACTGTGGGGCCAGGAGGCACCACCGCCGCCGCCCATAGTGCCCTATCAGGAACTTATCGCGGGTTTTCCCTGCTCCGATTTGTGTAAGTGCTTCTGTTAATAAATACTCTAAAAAATTCGGTTGACAGTTTTGTGAATTTGCAGCGCTCTGGCAAAGATCTCAAGTGGCACCGCTAGTTAACCAACGTCCAAGCACGAATGGGCGCTCCCATGGCTCCTCCTCCGCCAGCTCGAAGAAAACGCGCCGTCGTGTCGCCTCCATGGCGCAGAGGCGCGCGGCAAACATACGCGAACGCCGTCGCATGTTCAATCTGAACGAGGCCTTTGACAAGTTGCGCCGCAAGGTGCCAACGTTCGCCTATGAGAAGCGGCTATCACGCATTGAGACCCTGCGCCTGGCCATTACCTACATTGGCTTCATGGCGGAGCTGTTGAGCGGCACGCCCTCCAACACCCACAAGTCCCGCTCGGACATGTACGGCGGCATGAATGGACATCATCATTCAACGGCTGTGGCCCAAGGTCCGCCAATGCATCCGCATCATCTGCATCCGGCGGCCTATCAACGCGACTTTGCCTCGCCCTACAACCACAGTTTGACATAGATCTCGTCGGGCGGATTATTACAATATTGTTCCGTGTTCTTTGTTGCCATATCATGTGCTTAGACCTAAGATTAACCCATATAAATGTGATAGATGTGCAAATTATGAAGTGTGTGGAGTTTGAATATAATATAAATGGATATAAGGAGTTTAAGCTCCCCTTATAGGGATCCATACTTCGCATACCAAGGAGTACCGACTTCTAATACACTTCTGAGAGAAGCTTCTCTTTGGTCATATGAAAAAATGTGCAAGATAAAAATATTTATTCTTAGAATAAGAACTAGACCCAAACAGTCTTATATCACACTCTTTAAATTTAGTAGGAAGGATTCTTTGCTTTAGAGTGAGTGAAATTAAAATTGGCTTTATCGATATACATACCCTTAGATATAGAATTGAGAACTCATTATAGCATATCTGTGTGAAAGGCAGGGCGTGAGATTTCTTTGCAGTTCGCGCAACTCCGTATCTAAGCCTGAAATTAAAAGAAGCATTATTAAAAGTTTGCTGGAATCGAAAAAGAATAAATTTGAAATTATAAATTCAATTAGATTATATAAAATAGTAAACTTATCTGTGAACTGATCAAGGAAACTGAAGAACTAACGAAGAATAGAGCTCGAATCTCAGGCTAGTTTATGAAGATAATGATGATTCAAAGAGAAGTAAAGGTTAAAAATGCATTATATAATCACATTAATAATAATTATAATGATAGAGCTTTATTAGTAAGCAAATCAAAACCAATTACACAGCACTATTTGCCTCCTATTAAATTCTCCATTCTTATCGATTCTTACCCTTGTTGATTTCACATTCTGATAAGCACATAAGAACTATCAAAATTTTCATAATACTATTTGCAATATGTATGTAAGCCAACAACTGATAAATAATATAAATATCATAATTTCTGCGTTCAATAGATTAGTTGATACGACGTTCAAGCACAAAAGCTATCAGGCACATATTTCCTACAACGTTATCTGAGATCTCATTAAATTCCATAGACGATTGTTAAATTTTCTGGTATTGATAAATCGCCAGTATTCGATTGAAAGCCGAACGAGAATGTTGAAGCCCGCATTTGTTACGCAAATCTCGAATGTTTCCAGCGATCCGCCGGCCTGGCTGGATCAGAAGGAATTGCAGCAACTAATTAAAGAGGAATTCCCCACATTTCAGCATATAGAAAGCTTCCGCTGCAGATCCGAACAAAATGGTCAGCGTGTGCAGATCCAAATAAAGTTGGCGGGTAAGCATTTGGAGAGCTAACTTCTCGATAGGCGATAACGATAACGATAACGATAACGATTGCACAATCGAACAGGCAATTCTGCTCGCACTATCAACTACCTCGTGAAATCGAAGGATCTTGCTAAGCTGGTAACTTTAAAGTTTCCTCAAGACAACAACTTTCAGCGTGAGCTGCACATGTACGAGGTGGTGCTGCCTGCCCTCGAGAAGCTCTATAAGGATGTTGATAAGAACATAGCCTTCACACCCAGCTGCTATAGAAGGGTTCCAACTGCAAGGCACCAACTGTCCAACTGTCTCTTTCTGGATGATCTTCAAGCCAAGGGCTTTCGGTCGGCCAACCAGCCGCAGGGTCTAGACCAATCAGCTATGGAGGTGTCGCTATCAAAACTGGCCGCTTATCATGCGGCTACAGCGCGATATTTGCAACTGAATCCAGCTCAGTTCAATGAGCTAGTTCCAAGTAAGGAACCAGCCCAAGAGTTACAAGAGCTTAAGAGCTGGCTACAACGCAAATTTCATGAGAGTTTGCGGTCAAACGATTTGAAGCATTATGAGGATAAGGTGGTTGGTGAAAATAATATCTACTAAGTATATCAGATATTTGCAGCTATTTTCTTTACTCAGAAATCATATCAGAAATATATAGCCGGCTACATGGAGACGCCGGATCTGAAGAGATCCTTCAATGTCATTCTGAACGGCGCCTGTTGGCCAAACAATTTACTGGGCCAATTCGATGCGTTTGGCCAGCTTAAAGATGTGATTTTCCACGATTTCGCTGGTGCAAGCTATGGACCTGCTATACGTGATCTGCTGCAACTAATCTTAACAGCATCTGCGGCAAAAACTGAACAATTTGACGCCTGTTTGCGCTACTATACGGATGAACTGACGGAAAATCTAAAGTTGTTAAAGTTCAAGGGAAAGTTGCCCTCCTTAACGGACTTTCAGCTGGATGTAATTAACTACGGGCACTGGGGTAAGCTATGGAAATAGCTGGAAATTATAAATTCTATATAATAATACTCTTACCTATTATATAGCCTTTGAAATTGTAACGGAAATTCTGCCCATTGTCTTGGCCGATTACGAATGTGACGATACGGATGAATTGTTCAAATATGCTAAATACTCTGCAGAAATTAGAAAGCTGCTGCCCTGGCTGGAGAATCGTGGCTACTTTGAGGTTGAATAGCAAACGTAATCAATTTACATAGGGCTTAAAGTCAACTTGTACAAATTACTTTAAACAAAAATAAATGTATACCAACAACCACCTGATAATCCCCTAAGAACCACACTTGCAACTGCAACCTACAACATTATTAAAGCTTGATTTGCGTGCGAACTATTGCAGCTGCTGCGGCACATGTTGATGCTACACAATAAAGTCACATTAGATAGAACACCGAGGCAGCCAAAAAAAAACAAGAAACACAAGACAACCCAACTACAATTTGACAACGTAAACAAAGCGTAAAATTATTATTAATAAATTAATGTGTTAGGGCTGCAATACAATGACAATTGTTGTAACAACCCTCGTTGGGCGCAAACAAGTGCAACACTTAAGAGAGGCGCGATTGCGCAGAGTTTGAATACCCTGTAAATTTACTTGAATTAGATTTGATTTTGGGAATTTTTGTGCGATACCTATAATAGATTGAGATACACAATACTCTTTTAGATGAGAGGAAATTAACACATCTCACTTAAACATATTGATCCAATAATAGGAACAATTGGTTTTACACTTATCTTAAATTAAAGATCGAAATTTGGTACATGGGGCATATAAAACATCTAGTCCAAAAATGTCTAAGCGATAGAATAATAAACAGAAAAAATATTAGAAAAAACTTTTGTTGGGTAGATCAAATTGGCCTGCCTTATATTTTTGTCTGCACATACAGGGTATCTGTTAGTTTACATTGGTATTTTTACATATATTGTTTTCCGCCCCGCCTAAATACCGAGGAATTTTTGCGTTCAACGCCCATTTTCAACAGATTAGCGGGCCCTTTTTTGTTGTTGTTGTTGTTGCCACAGAGCGCAACATTGGGCAAATTAGTTTTGAGGGGGGCGAAAAAATCTGTTAGACCTAACTAGACCCACCTGAGGGTTGCTCGGCAGGATCAGGATGTAACACAGAGCGACCCTTTTTGCTCCTGTTTTGGTTGTGCGGTAGCTGGCAATATGTTTTGATGAATTCGTGACACTTCATGCCGCATTAGGTTGAGCAATTGCTACCCCCCTGCTGTAGGGGTTGACGCTTGACTTTGGCTTTGGCTTTATGAAGTGCGCTCACGTGTCTGTGATTAGCGGCTTATGTCAGAATCGTATCTATCTGTAGTATTTAGAGTAACTAACTCAAACTAGACCACCTGCTGTGTGGGAAACTTCAGTAAAAATTGAATTGAACTTAAAATTTCGAACTTTTAAAGATCATATCATATCATATCCTTGCCGCGTGTCCCTAATTAAATGTTACCCATAGTAAATCAGCGTAGGAAATTAACAAGTCTATGAACAATTTCCCGGCTGAGATTTGCGTAATCCTCACCCTCTCCCCCTTCGGGTCTATTGTGCGCATGTCAAATCGCTGTGACAAATTAATTGAATTTTGTTACAATTTTTGGCAAATTTTGCGCAAAAATATCGACACTTTCTGAGGCTATTAGAACGAAATCCAATATATATTTGACGGCATGATAGATGAGCCAAACAGATGGTCAGAAATTATGTGTTGAAAATTAATACGTTATATTTTACGATGTCATATGATATACAACGAGTATTATTAAATTAATCCAGAAAAGCTTGAAAATGCTCACTTAAATTGATATTATTTGAATATTTAAGGAAAGTTAGGCAAAATCCAGATTTACTTATTAAGGTATCTCAATAATGAGAAAATCTCGCTTACAAAGCTTTGATAATCATTAAAGCTGCAAAAGCTCTGAATGAAATTTAAGTGACATTTGATAAACAAGCTTATTTTACGCATTTAGTGACCAAATGCCCAAATACTCTGTATTTAAGAATTTAAAATTTACTTATGTTTTATGCCAAATAAAATATATGTTAAATTAAAAAAAAATACCTAATAGGTAGAGGAACCTATTTACTAATCAAATTTATCTTATAAAATCTGATCAAATTAATCGATATTTTAATTATTAATATTAACAGTCAAAACTATATACAGGGCATCACAAATTCATACACACTTGTTACTCATTTAACAAAGTGGCGTAATTTCAATAAAGCTTTAAGCTTTAAGCACGAAAGCTCTGTTTTGTTTATAAACATACCATCCGGCAAGTGACAAACTTATAGTATAAATTGAGAGAGCTGGCTGTAAAAACGTAATTCTAACGTGGAAAAAACATGGGAAAGACGGGTGGAAAAGAGGTGCCAGAGTTGCCAGAGTTTCCGAACTGGTTGGATGAGCATATGTTTGTGGAGTTCTTGCAACGCGACTTTAAGGAGTTCAAGGCCATCAAAAACTTTAAGGTGGAACCAACTGGCGGCAAAGGCGAAAACTTTACGACTTTGGTGGTGCGCGCTAAGATAAACGTTGAACTAAATGGTAAATGATTTAAGTCAACTTAAGCTCAAGAAATCGACAACTCTAATAAATTCAAAACAAAAACTTCACAGACAGCAGTCAAGCAGATACCTCGTATATAGTCAAATTGTTGCCCACAACCTTGAGCACACGTGATATGATTGCCAGCTGGAAGATCTTCGATAAGGAGAAGCTTACCTATAGCAGCTATGTGCCTGAATTCGAGCAAATGTTTAGGAGCAACAAAAAAGAAATAACCTTTGGGGCCAAATACTATGCGCCAGCAAATGCAGCGAGTCAGGAGCTGATCATCCTGGAAGATCTGGGCAATCGCAGCTTCAAGAATGCCAACCGTCAGCAGGGCTTGGATATGCCGCATACTAAAGCTGTGCTGGAAAAGTTGGCCCAATTCCATGCCGCCTCAGCTGTGCGCTATGAGCGCAAGGGCGCCTATCCAAAGCTCTACGATCGGAATCTGTGCAGTGAGGAGGATAAATTTCAAGAGTTTCGAGATACGCAAGCCAAGTCGCTTATCAAGGCACTGCCGCTCTATGAGGCGGCCTATATGGAGAGCGAACTGGTAAGTAAGCGATATTTGTATACCCTGTAATTATGGCAGAGAATTTGAAGGCAAATCTATAAACAATTGAAGTTCGCTTGAAGACGAAGAGTTCTCAAGATAATTAAAATAGAATATTAATAAGAAAATATTTAAGTGTCTTTCTACAGGGTATCATCAATTTATTTATTTGTCAACTTCTAATTGAATTCCAGAAATCCTACACCTCAATTGCGCCGGATATGTTTCAGGCCCATGCGCCCAAGTTTGAGGGCGAGTTCCGTTGTCTTAATCACGGCGATTTTTATTGCAATAATATCATGTTTCAATATGATGAACAAGGCGAAATTCGCGAAACCTTCTTTCTTGATCTGCAGATGAGTCGCTATTGCTCGCCCGCACAGGATTTGATATATATACTGCTCTCCTCGGTTGCTTTCGAGCTCAAGTTTTCCAAATTCGACTACTTTGTACACTACTATCACAGCAGGCTGGTTGAGTATCTAAGGCTTTTGGATTATCCACAGCCTGTGCCTACATTGAGGGGACTCCACATTGCGATTCTCAACCACGGCGATTGGGGTTGGTTTTAACACATATTACTTTACTTATTGGTTAACTTATCTAATTTATTCTTTAGTTTACCCCGTGATATCGCTGCTACTGCCACTCGTGCTGATCGATCCCAGCGAAAAGACCAACATGGACACCATGATGGATCAGGAGAGTGAAGGCGACCAACTGAGAAACACCATGTTTGGACATCCACGTGTTGTTCAGCAATATAAGCAGCTGCTGCCCTGGGCTTACAATCGTGGCTTATTTGTGTATAGACAAAAGAAATAACTGAAAAGCAACTGTGATATCTATTTCTAATGCCACACAAAACAGTACAAATAAAAATATGATTGTTTTTATACAAAATATACCTTTCATTGTATTAAAAGGGAGTTGAAATCGGATAAGATAAAAAGTTACTAGAAAGGCCTATATAAATCTTAACCCCGGTTTTGTACCCAGGAGAATAGATTTCTGATATTTTAAAAATCTTAGAAAAACTTCTGATATCTCACAAATATGAAAACATCGTGTGGAAAACAAAAGAGGTGCATAAAACCAGATATCTACAAAATTCTAACACTCGCAGATAAAACTAGATTAGGAGCTACCCTATAGGGGGTAACAGGCCTTTAAATTTTTAACAGGTGTTGAAAATTGGCAAATTGCCTGGTAGTATTTCAATGGAAGAAAAAAGAAGACGCAGTCATTGTGATTCTACAAAGGTGAATCCAAGAAAATTGATTCTGGTCTTATCAAATGCTTCTGCCAATTGCCAGTTCTTAAATATCAGTTTGTTACGATCGAAATTGCCATTTTAAAAATTGTACATTTATTTGGGAACTTTATAAGCATTGCTAAATCATATTATGACCTGATAAGGTGGCACAAGAGCTAGCGATAAAGAATTGCGTATTATTTTAGTGATAACTTCTGGCGTTAAACGTCAACCTTCAACTGCAATCGGTGGGCTAATTTTGAGTTGTAAACGTAGTCTAACCTTTAAAAACAGATTAAATGATTTAATATTTTCTGTACTCTAAGATATAAACACGAAGTGAAATTTCAAGAGCTTGCCGGTTCTTGATTTGTCAGACATACTCCTCAGTCCAAAGCTACAACCACTTGAGAATTATAAGCAACAAAAAAATGTTTAGGCTAGCAACCTACTCTGGCAAGTTTACCCCAGCGGCATATAGTGTTTAAGTGGATTGCCCGATTAGATATCAGACCATATTGAAGACATTTCTCAATTGATATTCCAAATTTCTCAATCAAACTTATTACCCCAATCTAATAACGTGTACAAAACGAAATTAGTTTAAGTAACCAATGTTCGGTGACATTTTTTTAAATAAATAAATACAAATAAAAAAAACCGAAATATTGTACTATAAATATCGTTTATATATGTATATAACATATCTGAGAGGATATAGTATCTAACATATTGAATACCCCTATCAATTAAATTCCACCTGATATTTTTGTATTGATAAAATGTGCCCGCTATTGTTCTCTTTGAACAGGTTTGAATGTATTTTCAGTAAAGTTAGCAAAGCTAGCAACTTAACAGGATAAAATCCCAAAGTACAAGTTAATAAACA